AGTCCCCCCCTGTCTGTCTCTCAGCCCCTGTCCTGTCTCTCAGAGCCCCCGTCCGTCTCTCAGTGCCGCCACATCCATTACCACAGCCCCACACTTGCCACAGACTCCTCTTATAACAATGGTTGTTACTTCTTGCCTCCTCTTTTTTATACTATCTCTCTCCCTTCACCCCTGCTACCCTCTCTCCCTTCCCTCCCTCCTTCCCCTTTCTTATTATCTGTCTATCTCTGCCTCTCTCATCGTCTCCCCATCCATTTTCCTCGTTGTTGTTGACCTTTAAATTTTCGTTTGTGTTGCGTTTTTTTTTTGTAATTGTTGTTGTAGTTGTAACTTAATATTGTTGCTTTTGTTTATGTTGTTGCTACTACTATTATTGTTTTATAATTGTTGTTGTTGTTGTTACTGTTGTTGTTGTTGCGGTCATTATACCTTTTATTGGTGGTGGTGGATGATGATGATGATGATGATGTTATTATTATGTGTTGTTGTTATCCCTGACACAATCTTGGCCCGCCATGATGTGCAGGTGACAACCGGTGAAGACGTGACAACCCTGACTTGTTGATATTGTCTTATGTCAACAAGTACTGTCACGTGGCGGGGAAAAATTACCCGTGGCTCGGCGTTACGTATCACCACATTGTTGAGACGGGAGGGTCATGGGGTGTGTAAGATTGTCAGGTTTTATGTGACTCGCCACCACTGCATTCATAAGTGTATGTTTCTGTGTAGAGCTGGCACCGTCTATAGCAGTGCTTCTTGTCCAACGTCGCATTATATGTTACAGCACACACACACACACACACACACACCCTAAGCCTCAGCCTCCATGAATGGAGACGCGGATGAAAAGGATTCTCCAACATAATTATCAGTACGGATCTCCCTCCCTTCCTCCCTCCCTCACCCTGACCACCACCCTCTCTCCCTCACTTCCTCTTCCCCCTCCTCCTCCCTCACTCACCCAGACCACCTCCTCGTTCTAACTCCCTCCTCTCCCTCCCACCCTCACCCAGACCACCTCCTGAGCTCGTATACAGGAAGGGTCTTTTACACACACACACACAGTATCGTGCTTCCTTTGAACCTCTGATCCCAAGTAACCTAACCTAACACGGTAAATAGGTAAAGAAATTATATAGATGATTAAATAGAAAATAACAAATAATATGAGGAAATTACAATAATGATCACAGGAATGTAAACAAACCTCCAGGTAATATATAAAGAAACAAAATTAATACTTGTACAAAATATAGGTCAACACAAACAAGGAAGGGACTGTAAGGTGAACTATAGCCCCCCTCAACAGCACCCCCCTTAATATGATCCAAGAGGCCGTAACTCTGTCTAGTAATGATATAAAATCCGGATTCCTCGAACACTTTTGTCAGACCATGTTGTGATATATACACGACCGAAAGCTGGTGAAAATAACCCTGACTCTAACTCCAATTTTCGGTGACCATAACTCCCGTAGGTATAGATATTAACCCAAATAGCGAGATAAGAATATTACCACCGAATAACTTTAAAAAAACAAAAACACATAAATCCATAGTGAATATATTGCAACCTAACACAGCCTAATATGTAAATATATCCGAATAAATACATAACTCGTGGGTGAGTCGCCTCTGCCAGCCTCTATCTTGTTCCTCTCTGGTAATTTATTCAATTTATTCATTCATAAAACTTATAATGCAACTTAAGAGCAATGTAGCCATCGCCCCCGAGCCCTCTCTCTCCTTCCCTCCCTCCCTCCCTCCCTCCTGCTGGATAATGAGACTGTGGAGAGAGAGAGAGAGAGAGAGAGAGAGAGAGACTAGGTTGATAGGAGTTGGCACAATCATCCTTGCCATCACCACCACAGTTACCACCCCCACACCACAGTTACCACCCCCACACCACAGATCACCACCCCCACACCACAGACCACCACAGTTACCACCCCCCCACACCACAGACCACCACAGTTACCACCCCCACCACAGACCACCACAGTTACCACCCCACACCACAGACCATCACAGTTACCACCCCCACACACAGACCACAGACCACCCCACACCACAGATCACCACAGACCACCCCACACCACAGACCACACAGTTACCACCACCCACACCACAGACCACCCCACACCACAGACCACCACAGTTACCACCCCCACACCACAGACCACCACAGTTACCACCCACACCACAGACCACCACAGTTACCACCCCCACACCACGGACCACCACAGTTACCACCCCCACACCACAGACCACCACAGTTACCACCCCCACACCACAGACCACCACAGTTACCACCACCCCCACCACAGACCACACAGTTACCACCCCACACCACAGACCACCACAGTTACCACCCCCACCACAGACCACCACACACTCACCACAGACCACCCCCACACCACAGACCACCCCCACACCACAGACCACCACAGTTACCCCCACACCACAGACCACCAGTTACCACCCCACACCACAGACCACCCCACACCACAGACCACCACAGTTACCACCACACCACAGACCACACAGTTACCACCCCACACACAGACCACCACAGTTACCCCACACCACAGTTACCACCCCCACCACAGACCACCACAGTTACCACCCCACACCACAGACCACCACAGTTACCACTACACACACCACAGACCACCACAGACCCCACCACAGACCACAGTTACCACCCCCACACCACAGACCACCACAGTTACCACCCCCACACCACACACACCCCACCACAGTTACCACCCCCACCACAGACCACCACAGTTACCACCCACACCACAGACCACCACAGTTACCACCCCCACACAGACCACCAGTTACCACCCCCACACCACAGACCACCACAGTTACCACCACCCCCACCCACAGACCACCACAGTTACCACCCCCACACCACACACCACCCCACACCACAGTTACCACCCCACCACAGACCACCACATTTACCACACCCCACACCACAGACCACCACAGTTACCACCCCCACCACAGTTACCACCCCACACCACAGTTACCACCCCTACACCACAGCACAGTTACCACCCCCACCACAGACCACCACAGACCCCACCACAGTTACCACCCCCACACCACAGTTACCACCCCACACCCCCACACCACAGTTACCACCCCCACACTACAGTTACCACCCCCACACCACAGAGCCAGAGCTTAATGGTTCATATGCCACATAACACTTCTGGCTGTGAGAGTTAGGAGACACCACCGTCACACTGCAACATTGTACCACCAGGCATTATTCTGCTGGGACAATGTTTTCCTGTTTCACCCGAACAATATTTTTGCCGCCACCACTCAACCACTGACTGTCTTACATACCACTGCTTTACTGCCCCATTGTACTACTGTAACAATGTATTATCAATCACTATTTCAAGCTGTTCCACTGTAGCAATGTATGACTAATCACAATAAACTGTTCCACTATATAAGCGTGCGGCAGCCGAGTGGATGCTCAATATTCCTCTCCATTACTGTCTTAGACTTAGCTGGTTCGATCCCATGGCCCCTACAGTCCACCCAGCTGAATATAGGTAACTAACTTTACAGTTGACAAAGGGAAGGCGGTCAAGTGCAATGTCTGCGAACCATTATTTTACTAGTCCACAAAAGATAGGTTTGGATAATATAAGGACTCATAATTATCACCAGAGTGACGCAGGTAGACTGTGTTAAAGAGACCCCGAGTTGATTAAACGCGTGAGTGAACCCTCCACGGCTCTGCAAGACATTACACCGGGATATAAAAGTCTTCCCCACTCAAGGCAACACTGCAACAGGTTAATTATTGTACTGGCGGCATCAGCGCAACAAGTCAAGGGAGCTTTAGCCAATCAGCATCAAGGTGCTTCCATTTTTGTCCAATCAGGGTGAGAAAAACGAGAGCTCCGACGGGGTAAGTTGCCAAATACCTCTATAAATGAAAACATAAACAAACCCGCTGGAGTTTGTGTTGTCAGATGAAATGAAATGGCACGAAATATAATGACATGAGGGAGGTTATCCGTTTTTTAAGAATGGGGAGTAAGTGATAACGTTGATGGTGATGGTACAGAAGTATGGGGAGGAAGGAGCTCTTACTAACACAGGGTTCACAAAACTGAGGTTCACACGCACACACGAGGGCTCTCACACAAACACGGGTCTCTCTCTCTCTCTCTCTCTCACACACACACACACACACACACACACAGTCTGACCGGTCTTCCTTGTTCTTGTAATATTGACGATGGAGGCTTTTTTAAGACCGTGAGGATTTCCTCTTTTTCCCATATATATTCTCCAGGAGAGAGTGGAGAGGTCCTCCTGCTTCATACACCTCGACTGGGATTCCATCAGGCCCTGAGGCTTTGTTATTTTTCATATGTTTGATGGCAGTAGCTACCTCATCCAGGGATGGAGGATAGCTGAGGTGGGTTAACTCTGGATGCTGAGGGACCTGCTGGGTAGTCAGGACATCCACATCGGTGTTTCGGTTGAGCAGCAAAGGGTAGTGCTCTTTCCATCACTGAAGGATGCCTTCGTTATAAATTAGGGAATTACCGTCGGATGAGCGGAAGGGGGCTGCGCCACGAGTGATTGGTCTATAAAATGTTTTCGTGGAATTGAAAAATTCACGCATCTTGTGTTGATCTAAAAGTTTTTGCATTTCACATGTTTTATTTTTAAACCAGTCTTTCTTTAGATTGCGAAATTCGCGCTGGGCCGTCGCTTTCTTCTTGCGGATGGTATCAGGTTTGATCCGAGACTAAGGGTTGTTTTGCCAGTCAGTTAAAGCAGCACGTTTACCATCGACGAGTACATTGATTTCCGGGTCATTTTCATCAAACCAGACCTGGTGTATTCTTTCGATCTGGTTGAGGGTCTCTGCAGTTTTTTGTCATGACACTGTTGAGTATATCCCATTCGGCACTGGGATTTGGGTTTTGTTGTCGGATTGTTTATCAGCCCATGTTCGAGCTGCTCTCTGAAAGCATGGACTACTGCTGGCTCCTCCAGATGCTTAATGTTAAAACCTCTTCTGGAGGTTTGTTACTTTCGCCGTTTTCGGGCAACGCGAAGTGAGAGCTTGGCTCTGACTCGCTGATGATCAGTGTCGTAGTGGTCTGAGCGTGAGGATATCTCGGTGATCTCTTTCTCTGACAATGATGTAGTCAATGAGATACCAGTGTTTGCCACCGACCCTTGAACTTGTCGGCCTGCCTAAACAAGGTATTAATGACAGTGAGGTTGTGTGCAGCACACTTTCTGAGGAGGAGTAGGCTGTTGGGATTACACTTGCCTAGTCCATTTCTCTCTCTGATTCCCTGCCAATTGTCAGCATCTCTGCCAACTCTGGCACTGAAGTCACCAAGGAGCACAACCTTATCTTCTCTGCGGATAGAGGTTAGCACTCTGTCAAGGTCGGCATAAAAGGCCTCCTTGATGTCATACGCTGCATCCTGTGTTGGGGCGTATGCACTGATTAAGAAGGCATATCGTGAGTGATTCAGTGGGACTGTGAGCGTTATGAGGCGCTCGTTGATTCCAACAGGCATTTCAGTTATCCTGTGTAGGATGCATTGGCGGATGGTAAAGCCAACCCCTCTGTGAGTTGACCCTCGTCTGGGAGCCGGGACTCACTGATGGCTGCTATGTCAATGTTATATATAGCCAGCTCTTTTGCCACAAGGGCGGTTCTTCTTTCAGGACGTGCATTTGTGCCAATATCCAGAAGGGTCCTGACATTCCATGCAGTGACCATAAGAGGTTGTATAGTTTGTTTTGTTTTGATTTGTGATTATGATTGTGTTTTCGACTGCATAAGGATGACCTTACTGGCTGCAGTTGCCCAGTCAGGTTGGTTCTTTAGGCAGGATATATTCAAGGCACCTTTTCTAACCCCCCTCCCCATGTGGGGTGAGCAGAGTGGTTCCTCGAAAAGACTGCTCAGTCGTATAGACAGGACCAGACTGCACTGCTGCCTAAATCCCAGTACATAAACGACCATCTCATCCATATCGCCCATGTGCAGAGTTGTGACTAGAGACTCCCGGCGGTCACCTCTGCCTGTCCCCGTCGCCACTCGACCGTCACCATAGGACTTTTGGGGGTATAGGGATTTTGATGATGATGAGAAGTATGATGAGCTGGATGATGGCTGCACGTGAGTTGATTTATGTGGTGAGGCTGGAGCGCAGGCTGCAACCATACACCTTGGCTCTCCCTTTTCCTGATCCAGTGGGGCAAGTGTTGCAACAACTGGGGAGAGGGAGTTACAATGGACTGCCGATAGCCCAGTTTGTTGGGTTTCGCCTTAGTAGCCTTCATCCACCGGTGTAGTCGTTGGGTTCCCATGTTGGTCATCTCTTCTGCCTATACCGCCGTTGGGGTCTTGTTGGAGCTCTTTAAGTATGTCTGCCTGATGCAGGGCTCCACTGCAGATTTTTCGTTCTGGGTTTACTCCCGTAGCCTTATACCTCTCATGGTTAATCCACAAGGCAGCTGGGGAGTGGTTGGTAGGCACCAGGACGTGTCCACATGCCAGTGGGCTTATGTGCTGTCCCTTTGGGGCCCACTGCTGCTCCGAGATCCCCTGTTGGTGTAGCCTGGACCCACGAGGCACCCAGTTACCGTGTGTTACCACGAGGAGGCACAACAGGAGTCTTGATGGTGAAGAGGCTGTGTACTGGCTGTGTACACACACACACACACACACACAGACGGCTCTTACACTTAAACACTGGGGCCCACACACAAACAAGGGGCTCACACACAAACACAGGGGTTACACACAAACTCAGGGGTCACACACAGGGACTCTTACACACACACACACACACACACACACACACACACACACACACATTCAAATAATCACCAGAATTCAATTATCGGTTTCAGATCGGCAAGTTGTCGGTAGCAGAGCCTCTGTAAACCCCGGTGCCGGGCCCCTCTCTCCCTCAGTCCTACCACCCACCATTATCTATAGCCACCATTAGCCACTACCAACCATCCACCATTATCTATAGCCACCATTAGCCACCACCTACCACCCACCATTATCTATAGCCACTACCAACCACCCACCATTATCTATAGCCACTACCAACTACCCACCATTATCTATAGCCACTACCAACCAATGGTGGTAGTGGGATTGTACGGTAGCAGTGTTGTGGTAGTGGGATAGTATGGTGGTAGTGTGACAGTGGGGTAGTGTGGTGGTAGTGGGATAGTGTGGTGGTAGTTGGATAGTGTGGTGGTAGTGAGATAGAATGGTGGTAGTGTGGTAGTGGGATACTAGGGTGCTAGTGAGATAGAATGGTGGTAGTGGGGTAGGGGATAGTGTGGTGGTAGTGGGATAGTGTGGTGGTAGTGGGATAGTGTGCCATCATACAGTCAACTGAGGGAACAACGCAGGGGACCCTGTTGCAATGGCAATGTACGCAATAGGCCTATCAGTGCTCCACCACACAATAAAATTTGAAACAACCGAGGTCAAGCAAGTGGCGTATGCTGGCGACCTTACAGGAGCAGGAGAAGTGGAGGATACCAAAAAGTGGTGGGACTTGGTAACATCACGAGGCCCACAAATAGGGTACCACCCAAACGCCAGCAAGTCCTTCCTCATTGTGAAGCCAGAACATTAAGAACGGGCAATGGAGGTGTTTGGCAGAAGTGAGGTCAAAATAACAAAGGATGGCCAAAGACACCTAGGCTCAGTAATCAGTACGACGGACTTCAAGACCGAGTACGTAACGGGTAAGGTGAATGAGTGGGTTAGGGAAATCCAAGCTCTGTCTGAGATTGCTAACACAGAGCCACATGCAGCTTTTGCGGCATTCACCCATGGAGTCAAGCATCGCTGGAACTACCTGATGCTCACTATCCCTGATATCGGACCCCTCCTTCACCCTCTCGAAGAAGCTATCAACATCAATTTCATTCCCAAATTAGTGAAACACCCTCACTTACCCCCAGCAGAAAGATCACTCCTTGCACTACCACTGACACTTGGGGGGAATGGGATTGATCAATCCAGAAGAGATTGCTGCCACCGAACATCAAAGCTCAGTTAAACTCATGGCAGCCCTCACGGACCACATAATAGCTCAGAACGCAACAGGGGAGGTGGATACCAGTGAAGTAAGCAAGATTCGAAGGTCCATTACGACAGAATGACAGCACCGTCAAAGTGATAAGGTGCAGCAACTGTTGCTGCAAGTATCAGAGAATTTGAAAAAAAAAGTAGCTATAGCGCAGGAGGTGGGCGCCTCGAACTGGTTAACTACGTTACCGATAAGGACAAATGGTTTGTTTCAAGAAAACAAGAATTTACAGATGCCAATGCTCTAAGGTACGGTAGGCCAGTAGAAGGTTTGCCCTCCCAAGGCGTGTGTGGCTCTTCCTATGACGTCGATCACGCCATGGTGTGCAAGAAAGGGGGCTTTATATGCATGAGGCATGACGAAGTAAGGGATCACACAGCAAATATGTTGAAGGAAATCTGGCTTGATGTCAGGGTAGAACCGACCCTCCTTCCATTGGATGGTGAGAATTTCCAACATAGGACTTCAAACACATCCAACGAAGCCCGTGTTGACGTCAGTGCTCTAGGATTCTGGACGCCGGGACAGCGAGCCTTCTTTGACATCAGGATTTTTGATCCCGTGACCGCATTTCACCGTAACTTAGCTCTCGATGCTGCACACAGGAGGAACGAGAACGACACGATAAGGGCATACGGGGAGAGATTTCAAAACGTTGATCAAGGCAGCTTCACTCCTCTAGTGTTCACAACCTCTGGTTGGATGGGACCAAGTACAAGATGCTTCTACGCCAGACTCGCGGAGGTGATCTCCGAACAGAAGCAGCAGCCCAGAAGTTATGTTACAGCCTGATGAGATGTCGACTGTCCTTCTCTCTCCTTTGGTCGGATTTGCTCTGCCTCAGGGGAACGAGAGCATCTGCTCCAAAGCCGACAACTGCTGCAGATATTGACTATGAGGCTACAGTTACTGAATGCCGCATAGATCTGCGGCTCAACTAACTCAACACAGCCAGGATAGCTACTCATGTATTAAGATATTTAATATTAAGGTAATAAAATAGCAGCGAAGGTATGGCTATTGGGGGAGGCTGGAGGCCACGTTATATATGAGATAGTATGATGGTAGTGGGATAGTGTGGTGGTACTGGGATAGTGTGGTGGTAGTGGGATAGTGTGGTGGTAGTGGGATAGTGTGGTGGTACTGGGATAGTGTGGTGGTAGTGGAATAGTGTGGTGGTAGTGGGATAGTGTGGTAGTGGGAAAGTGTGGTAGTGGGATAGTGTGGTGGTAGTGGGATAGTGTGGTGGTAGTGGGATAGTGTGGTGGTAGTGGGATAGTGTGGCGGTACAAGTTAAGGATGCTGGTACTTAACCCTTAAGACTTGACCACTCTGCGTCACACAACACAGTCACCGTCACATTACGTCACATACAACGATGCATAACGTCAGTACAGGTCACACGTCAGAGGCTAAAAGACTAAGGTATTTGTTATGTAATTCCTTTTTATTATTTGACCGGAGGGATTCCTAGTCCCCTCCCACGAACACAGCAGCCAATGATATAGCTTAAAATCCTCACATCATCTGGCTCCACCCACTCAGCCTCATCCTGGCTGTAACACTCCCGCTGAAATATTAATGAAGCTTAGGTGCCTCCCACTGAACACCTCACAACATGTTGCCCATAATTCTGTTTTGTGAATGTGGTGGGACTTTTGGTCGTTGTTTGTGTTGGTGTAAACTGTACCAACTATTCCGGCTGGACGCGATATTTTTATTTACATAGTTTTCGAGGAGGGAGAGTTGGGAGGGGTGCGGTGTGTGGCGGCTGCTGCTGAACGTGGGACGTGCAGCCTTTTCACATCTCCATCTGTAAAATTACGTAACCATTTCATGTTGGGTCGTCTAGGTGAGCCCTACTTTGTGACTGACAGCTATACTCTACATGACGACCCTTGGATCTGAAATCGAGTTGTGTAACCACTTGGCCACC